TCTAATATGACATTGAGAATTATTTGAACTTTAATTGTTTATAGTCTGACAACAGATTTACTAAGTATTGCGCAACAGCATGGTGTATTGCACAACAGCAAGAAATCTTTAATTGAATATAAATTCAATTCATATAACCAATTTCAAGTTCTTTGACTACATTTATTCAGAAACCTATAATATGTCAAACATTTAATACAATCCAAATTCAGACCTGTATCAAGCTTGAATATTGTGTCCATTTTTGCCCCAACTGTTCAGGGTTAGACCTCTGCGGGCATATCCAGCTGCGCTCATCGAAGCAGTTTATTCCTTCTGCCTGCAGATATTGATATGATTTTGGTACATTAGTGTATAATAATGGCTTACAAATCAAAGGAGTTGGTTCACTAACTCATAACTTTGGCCCTAAAAATCTCTGAAAATTTTTCACTATGACAATGTTGGTAGATCTTGATGAAAATATATGATAAAATGTCATTTAATGTTTCAGCTTAAAAAGATTTTCACCTATTGCGTCATAAGTGAGGTATTTGTGAAATCATAAATGAAGGTGAATTTCGCTAAAACATGATTTTTTGCAAAATTTTCAAAATTATTGACAGTTTTCTGAAAAATTTAACATAGGTGCCACCCCTTGATAACAAATATTTCGATGAAATATTCTTTATACACCATACTGTTTAATTATTTTTCAACAAAAAATTTTAATGAACGAGGGGTGGGACAACATATAAAACCCAAGATAAATTTCTAGAAAAATGGCTGAAAATGAAATCTATTCCTACTTAAGGCTGAAGTACTTATAAATATGAAGCAGATATACAATTTCTCTTATTATACTTCCAAAAAGGATGTTTAAAGCAATACATATACAATAGATTTAATCAAACAATTTAAGTTTAATCAATACACCTCTACAGGGGACGTTTATTGGGGTAACTAGCCTACTCCTTTCCCTTTTGTTCCGGTTAACTGACTTTTTGGGCAATTATGGTCCTTATAAAGTTTGTGTTTCGTTTTTGATCCACAAACTTTTTGTGATTAGGCTGCAGGCATGGGCATATGGGTTGTTGAGACACATCTAGTTATAAATGTGTTGCTGTATAAGTGACACATACCCAACATTTCCTTCTATTCATGTTAAAAACTAATATCCTATTTTTCTGATAGCTCACTTTAGAAAACGTCTATATTAGGGAAAAATTAATGACATAAAATCTTACACATAATTTGTCAACTATCAATCATAATTATGTCAGATATAGAAATGATTTTGACAAAAAAAGAGTGACATATGTTTATATGTATTGATTATTTGAACCTTTGGTGTTTAATTATGTTATCAATATCAATAAGTTTTTTCATGTCTTAACTATCATAGTAGGAACTGTCCTTGAATTAAACATCATGATAGACAAATTGGCTGATTAATTATTGTTTGCTTACAACATCCATTGGCAAACATCTGTGCATTTTCAGGATGAGAAACAATTGAAAAAAACATTAAAACAGTTATTCGTGAAAAAATGGATGATTGAGATGATGTCAGTGGCCAGTGGTTATTTTCTTAAAGATTTTGTACATAATAAGGAACTTTGTTGATGGCAGGTCTTCTGTGGTTTTTCTTGAATTGAAAACAGCATTCACAAAATTGTGAAAAATTTGTCTAAGTGTAGTCTATCATTGAAAACCAATTATTGACCATTAGATTCTATAGTTTTATTGTTACTTTATCTGTTATATATAGACCAAAAAGATATACAGTTCATCTTGCATTGTTCCAACACCACTGACTTTTAATTTCATAGAGTTTTAATATATTATTAAGTCATAATCAGTTATGCAGTTCAGACTTTCCATCATAATTGGTCAAATTTAATTATTTTTAGATATTTTTGCATATACAACCCTCTTATGGGTATGATTTGATATAATGTGTGTAAAATCTATCATTAAACAATAAAGAAGATTCATTTACGGTTGAAATCTAAAATTTGAAGCTTTATGAAAGACATTCAAAATGTAGGATCATTTCAATTGTTTTCTTTCTGTATGCTGGACGTAAACCAAGCAACACGCATTCAATTGACTTGTGTATAGTCAATGCAAATTCAGTGTATAACTTAGGATGAATATGCCTTGTTCTCTTTCTTTCCTAATGATTGGTCTTGAAGGTTTGTTATTCAACCAAAATAGGGAACCATCATTGGTTAAGCTGTTACTAGTAATTTACTGTAAATCAGACATCATGCTTTATATATTTCTTAAGGCGAATTTTCAGCAAAAGCAACAACTGTTTTGATTTTAATTAAGAACAAGCTCAAATACAACACAATAAAATTGTCTTGTAAAATTGCCATACTGATATGTGTGCAGATCTAACACTCTAAAACTTAGGGATACCCATGCATGTTTTCATTCTACAATCTGTATGAAAACCTTTTAATTCAGGTTGAACATGTTTCTAAATGTGTAATACTACAGTTAGATTATGGTCATGTTTTTAAGCAAACAGAAAATTATGAAAAATTTGGGAGGTACCTGTGCTTTTTGTTGCCTGCAACATTTATGTTGTGAAAGCCAGACATGGCAATCATAGTTCCTTCGTTGGTGGCATCCACATTTATGTTCAGTCTGTGGTTAAAGTTTTTTCAGTCATCAATAACTTTATCAAACATTCATGGAATTTTATGAAATTTGAACAGAAGCTTGTTTATGACCAAAAGACAGTTTCCAGAGCAAAATTTTGAAAATATTTATTTTTCTTTTTCCGTATTTTACTGATAAATGGACTTATTTTTTTTACAGTTAACATTCAGACTCAGTCTGAGGTTAAAGTTTTTCAGTCATCAATAACTTTGTCAAACATTCATGGAATTTTATGAAATTTGGACAGAAGCTTGTTAATGACCAATATACAGATATTTTACTGATAAATGGACTTAGTTTGTTTTTTACAGTTATCAAGTAGATGCAGTCTGGGGTTAAAGTTTGTTACACATCAATTACTTTGACAAACATTCTTAGAAATTTAATAAACTTTGGCAGAAGCTTTTTTATGATTAAGAGATAATGTATGAAGCAAACTTTTGAAAATTTAAATTTCGTTTTCAGTATTTTTCTGATACTACTTTCTTACAGTTAACATTTACAGACAGTCTAAGATTAAATGTTTTTAACATGAAAGATTTATAAACCTTCATGGATTATTAAGAAACTTTGACAGAAGCTTATCTTCAAGACAAAGAAATAGCATCAAAAGAAAAAGTTAGAATTTTTTTTTTAATTCTGTATTTTACTGATAAATGGACTCACTTTTTAAGTCAACATTACACTTTTACACAGACAGCAGCAATTGCAGGTGACACAGGGTTCCACAGAACCCCACACAATTTTTTTCAAACATTCCTCAAATGTAATATTTTATTTTGATCAAAATGAAAAGGTGTTTTAGTAGTTTCATAATATAGATCCAAAAATCATACAGTAATGCAAAGACACAAGTTATAGTTACAACTTATGAGTTTGAATGTCCCTTTGGTATCTTTCACATTTCTTTTACAAAGGAAGCAACATTCAGCTTTTTATGAGACCTTAAAACTGCATTTCTTTTTTTACCTTGATCCATATAACATTTTATAGAATATATATATATATATATATAGCTTTTATACTTGATAAGTTTTTGGAGCCTCAGAAATCTCATTAAAACAGTACCTTATATCCTTGAATGATGTTAGATGAACTTTCTTCTTTTGCTATTAATTTGATGGTTAAACACCTCTTAATAAAGATTAGATACAAATTGGATGGACAATGCCCTCAACTGTAATGTAAAACATTGCAGACAATACAAATGCTGAATTTCACAGATCATTATTTGTTGATAATTGCAGGAGACCAAATTATTTTATTATGTTAGTAAGTTTTATGAGCCCTCCTTGAATTGTACTGAGGTCTGAAGAACAGCTAGGTAGAAATCCTGATAACAAGATGAAATTGACAACCTGTATTGTATATTTTATTGCCATTAGGTGATTCTATAATGAGAAGTAGACCTTTTTGTATGTAATTTTCAAGTTACTTGGAAAGAAAGAATATCTTGAGGCCGGTAATTATACAAATTGCTTTATATAACAAATTTATGATGTTCAGCTCATATCTTTTACATCCTGGGTTTTATTTGTTTATCAGAGAAATTCACTTATTTTTTAAATTGTTGTTTACATTGTATGCATGGATGATACATTATATTGCAATTCATGGTCTGGAAACAATTTTTGCATTTTTTGTGAAAATGTCTGCAGGCCAGCATTCAAAGTTATATAATGTACTATGATTGGAAAAGATTCAATGGCAGGATATTTAAGATTATTTATGAGATGGTATCAGGTTTAGGAAAACTAAAATTGAAAGGAGCATTTCAAATGATGATCATATTAATATAGTAAAGGTCACTGTACATGTATGATAATAAAACAGTGATGCTGAGGCTTTCCCATACTTTTTATTTAATTCAAGACATCCTTATACAGAATTGTTGTATGATACCCAGATTATAGTCAGTTAGTTATTGATCCATTTTAATAACTATGTTTGAGAATAAGAAATAAAATAATGGTCTTTTATGTAATTAATTGCTGCACCACTATCATGACTCATAAAAAATACTTGACACATCTCAACCATAAAATAAAATCATGCTCTAGAGATGTTGTTTCAGTCCGAGTCTCAGTACATTTAGTTTTATCCATGCTTCATTTACAGGATGAACTGAATGACCTTATTAGCAATCACCTCTGACTTTCTATTAAATATTTTTGATCAGTTTAGTGCCCGTAAGTTAAGGAAAATAAAAGAAAAATTTTCAACATGGGGAAAACAAAGGACAGAGTGTAAAAACACAAATCCATCAGTAATTCCTACAGGAGAAAAGTTATACAGTAAGGTAAATATTTAATGATATCATTGATTCACTATTGATTTTTCTCTTACAGGTAGCCAGCTACAAGTAGAACCATGGTCATCTTATCTAAGGTAAGAATAATAGGGGACATAGAAAGGGAAGGGTGAAAAATAATGGTAGGGAGAAGTGGACCATCAGTTATGTTAGTCCTGCTTATTAAACAGATATTGAGAATGTCATTGTGTCTAAAGGTAGAGGAAATAATGCTCATGGGAAAGGAGAGAAGAAAAAGGAAGGGGGTGGCAGTAAGATTGTTTGCTGTACAGCCGAGTGTGTAAGCTGCATGTAGTGAAAGGTCTGTCTTGTCAAAGATAAGTCAATTTGTTCAGTGAAATATATAAGAAATGAAAGAAAGGGTTTTATAAGGAGTAATATTGCAAGTAGAAACTAGTTGAGTAAATTTTCACACCATCAATCAGCTAGAAAAGATAACTTTGTTTTACTTGGAGAAATACAAGTTATCATCGGTCATCACTCTTATTTTTACACTGCTAAGAGACAAAACTGTTGTCATATGTTTGAAAATATAAGAGGTGACAATTTAGAAGATAAACATATAAATAATTTAGTTTTGTCTAAATGTATGTCTTACAAGCAGTAACTTGACAGTATTATCTTGAAATGATAACTGTCAACAAAAGAAGAAGGGGGTTGATTAGGTTATGATAACCAATATCCAAGTTGTAAATAATATGACCAGAAAGGATAAAACATACATACGAAATGTGTATTTGCTGCTTTATATTGAAGATTAAACTGAGGCTATGTATAGCTTGAGAGACAAAACGTAATACTTAGAAATATCAGATTTTATAACAGAGGCAGTACTGTTACAATGATTTTCAGCTTTAGAAAGTTTTCAGATGACCTCTAACCTTATAAAATGCGTATATATAACACCACATTTGTATTTTTGAAAGATATGTTTGACCTATATTTCTTGAAAGATGTATGTGAACTAAATACCAATGGTTTCATCACTTTTAGAGGAGATAACTGCTATAAACCTTACTTCAGATGCTTATAGATTTCTCATTTTGCACCATGCATTACTTTTCTGTAATGGTCTTGCCTGAGACAACCTACATTTAGTCATTGGCCTCGGTTCTTTTTTTGCTGTCAACATTTAAGGTGCAATCTGAAAGATTTTAATGACTCTGTCAAACTTTCATGGCATTTTACAAAACTTATACAGACAGAAGCTTCTGTATAATCAAGAGAGTATCCTGTGCAAATTTAGATTTTTTTGTATTTAACTGATATATTGAAAAAGTATTTTGCTCTCAACATAAGGTTTATACAAATTTGCAGGGGAAAAACAGGATTCCCTGGAAAACTTTAATTTTTATACGACCGCAAAAAAATTTTTGTGGTCGTATATTGGTAAGACGTTGGCGTCGTCGTCGTCGTCGTCTGGCGTCGTCCGAAGACACATTGGTTTTTTGCACTCTAACTTTAGTTTAAGTGAATGGATCTCTATGAAATTTTACCACAAGGTTCAATACCACAAAAGGAAGGTTGGGATTGATTTTGGGGGTTATGGTACAAACAGTAAAGGAATTAGGGGCCAAAAAGGGGCCAAAAATAAGCATTTTTGTAACTTCCAGACATAACTTGTGTGTTAGTGAATGGATCTCTCTGACATTGTACCACAAGGTTCCATATCACAAAAGGAATGCTGGGATTGATTTTGGGGGTAATTGCCTCAAAATTTTAGGAATTAGGGGCCAAAAAAGTGGCAAAAAACAAGCATTTTTCTAGTTTCAGGACCATAACTTGTGTGTAAGTGTATGGATCTTTCTGAAATTGTACTACAAGGTTCCATATCACAAATGGAAAGCTGGGTTTGAGTTTGGGGGTAATTGCCCTAAACGTTTAGGAATTTGGGGCCAAAAAGGGGCCAAAAAACACATTTTTCTAGTTTCCAGACAATAACTTGTGTTCAAGTGTATGGATCTCTCTGAAATTGTACTGCAAGGTACCATACCACAAAGGGAAGGCTGGGATTGAGTTTGGGGGTGATGAATCATAAGGGGGTTCAAAAAATTTGGGGGGGGGGGGGGGGGGGATTTTTTTTTTTTTTCATTTTTTTTCTTTTTTTCCTTTTTTTTTTCTTTTAAAATTTTCCATTTTAAGTTGGTTATTTCTGATTTATATTTAAAAGCAAATAAAAATGATATGGTAGGAGATAAACACCAAACAGGATGTGTAAATTATTATATAATAAGTATTGTGCAATAGCAAGAAATTTTCAATTGCACAGTATTGCACAATAGCAAGAAATCTTCAATTGCGCAGTATTGCGCAATAGCAAGAAATCTTCAATTGCACAGTATTGCGCAATAGCAAGAAATATCCAATAGCACAATATTGCGCAAATAGCAAGAAATTGTCAGTTGTACAGTATTGCGCAATAGCAAGAAATATTTAATTGCACAGTATTGTGCAAAAGAAGATACTTCGTATAAATTGCTTATTTCTTGACCAATTTCAATTGGGTTTTATTCTTGAATTCTTGGGGTTTTTTAATATGCTAAATCATACCGTGTATTAAGTTTTTGGATTTTGGGCCCCGTTTTTAAATTGGTCCACATTGAGGTCCAAAGGGTCCAAAATTAAACTTTGTTTGATTTGATCAAAATTGAATTATTGGGGTTCTTTGATATGCCGAATCTATCCGTGTATTTATATTCTAAATTTTTGGTTCCGTTTTCAAATTGGTCTACATTAAGGTCCAAAAGGGTCCAAAATTAAACTTAGTTTGATTTTATCAAAAATTGAATTCTTAGGGTTCTTTGATATGCTGAATCTAAACATGTATTTAGATTTTTGATTATGGGCCCAGTTTTCAAGTTGGTCCAAATCGGGGTCCAAAATTAAACTTTGTTTGATTTCAACAAAAATTGAATATATGGGGTTCTTTGATATGCTGAATCTAACCATGTATTTAGGTTTTTGATTTTTGGGCCCCGTTATCAACTTTGTCCACATTGAGGTCAAAAGGGTCCAAAATTAAACTTTGTTTGATTTCATCAAAAATTGAATTCTTGGGGTTCTTTGATATGCTGAATCTAACCATGTATTTAGATTTTGGATATTGGACCATAATAGGTGAATGTCCAATTTAAAATATTAAGTTCTTAGACCACATTCATTCTGTGTCAGAAACCTATGCTGTGTCAATATTTAATCACAATCCAAATGCAAAGCTGTATCAAGCTTGAATGTTGTGTCCATACTTGCCCCAACTGTTCAGGGTTCGACCTCTGCGGTCGTATCAAGCTGCGCCCTGCGGAGCATTTTATTTTTTATTGCAATAAAACTATTGATAGTAAGCTGCATTCAAAATTAATAGCAACAAGGCCATAACTTAATTGTCATAATAAAACATTTTCAATTGGTTATTACCATTTACACTTTTAGTTTATTTTATTTTTTTTTGGGGGGGGGGGGGGGAGGTAAAATTGTAATGTTTCCCCAAAAAGACTGTTGGATGACTTTAAATCAGTGTCACATGTTTTTGTTATGTGTTCCTAAATATTTTCCATTTATCCATTTATAGTTGCAGGTTTCTTAAAGATCAATTAGTAATAAATTTCAATATGTTTATCCAAAAAGGCAGTTATTCATATAAACCAGATATACCATACTAAACAAGATTTAGATAAGGAAGAAAACTTTGCAGAGAATTTCTTTATAACCTTTTTAGCAAATATAGCAGTCAGTAGAAACACAGAAAACTGTTTTCATCAGAAACTGAGGAAGGAAAATGACTCAGCTTTTAGTAAAAAACCCTGACTAAAGTAATTTTGTCTATTCACAAAGATAAAGGGAACTGCACAAACTAAAATGCATAAGATATTAAAAAAATGATACTATTCTAACAAGAAGAGACACACCTTCATCTGAAGGATAATGTTTATAATGTCTGGTATAGTGAAAAAGTGCACTTAATGTGGTTTTGATAGCTAGCTTTGTTATATAATGTTAGTGTACCTAAAGGTGTTGATATTTTCACGTCATTTCCTACTGAAAAGTCATGTAAATAGGCTAATGTTTGTTATATTGGGGCTCATTACTGACAATAGTATCTGAAACCTAGCAACCTAGTTTAATGACAAGATTTCAGGAAGGCAGGAGAATGACAGTGCATGTAAAAAGTGATATGACGAAGAACATGTAGAATTATTATTAGAGGACTGTTGCCCAATTTCAAAGGTCTCATTCATACATATCAAAGAACTCTACTGCTTGTGCTATTTTGTTTGAAATTGTAGAAATTATGCCTCTTGGTATATTTATTACTTTTTCTTTTGAAATTTAATAAAAATGTGTAACAACTAGTGTTAATCTAGTGCAAATGCTAAAATGGACATACTAGAGCATACATTGATGTTAGTGTGAACATATATTTCCTTCTCAATCTTTTCCATTGTCTTCCCCTTCTGTCCACTTACTTATCTCCCTTTATTGTGTTTTCTTCATCACGGGCTTTATAGATGGGTTTATCTGTAATTGACCTAGAAAACATGGGCGCATCCATTAACCTCTCATGTGACCAATCCGCCATTACAACCGTGAAAAATAACGCATGTGTATTGATCAAAACATTATATTCATTTTCTGTTTACATTTGTATTTCTTTCATTTTCTGATTTATTTTACTATGGATGCAGCCAAAAGTTATAAAAAACACGGAAGCATTTCTTGTGCAGTTAATAGTTGTACAAATAATCGTTAAAAACTTCAGGTGTGGAAAAAATCAATATGCGAATTACACAACGAGTTGCATGATGACTGCCCTCGTTTGATTTCATATATCATATACGTCTTATGACTGTGATGCCTTCAGACGAGCCAACAAACCAGAGTGGATCAAAGTCGTAAACATAAAAAAAACTTTGCATAAACAGTTTTTTGTATGGTCCGGCCATTTTTTTTGGATGATGCGCCACTGCACACAATCCGTTTTTTTTTAATAAAACTTGTTAGTTATGAAAGTAAAAATGTTTACACGATGTAAAACGACTGTTAAAATCTTAAATTAATCTTTAAAATTTAATCCGATGAC